CACACATGTAATAGATACTGCATTAAATGTGAAATAAGTTGGCAGACTAGAAACATAGTAAAAAAAAAATGAGATTGAGGTATTTAAATTTGACTCGATATATATTTTATTCTTTATTTGAAAACAAAAAGTGACTAATATTTTGGAGGGCAATTTTCTTATTTTGTTATATCACTTATTTGCGAAATGCTTTGATATTAGGTCATTAATTGATGTTTAGTTTGGTATCTTAGGAAGCAAGAAAATGATCAATAGAATTATTCATATGAGAAGCTGAAATCTTGTGTATGGCTCATTAATGCACATAGTTTTACAAAAGATTTAACACATGGGGTGTCAAAATTGTGTTTGCAATTGGGGGCGGGTTTGACCTATAAATGATCTTAGTTGTAACTGCTTGACTATAACTAGATCCAAATATTATACCAGTCAAAAACCCATCCTGCCTTCGATTCTATTTGCCCGAACCCAACCCACGTGTTTCATTTAATATAAGACATAATAGCTATTTGAGCTAAATTAGGGTCAAGCTGGGTTAATTTTGGGCTGCCCGGGCCGACGACCCAATTTTTTGTGAATTTCAAGTAGGGGGGTCAACCTGGACAACTTAAAAAAATTAATTGGGTTAGGATTTTAGTCCCAAATCCAACTAAACATTTAATTGAGGCAACCCGAACTTCGATTTTTCGAACTGTGTTCAGGTTGGGTTAGGGGTGTAATCAAGTCGAGTTGAGCTCGAGTCACAATGAACTCAAGCTCGACTGGACTGTCAAAATAGTAGCTCGAACTAGAGCTCAAGCTCGACTCCACTTATTTCAAGGTTCGTGAGCTCGGCTTGTCCGCTTATTACGGACTCAAGAGTTTGACGATGGACTCGACAGAGAAAACGTTGACAAGTGAGAAAGTGGAAGTCTTGGTGGGGCTTACTGTAGAAGGTATCGAGATTTATGGACCTGCGACCATCTATTGAGAGGGAAATAACAAGGTGAGTGTTTTAAGAATTGTGAAAACTATAGAGCATTAGTTATCGATTAAATGTAGCCGCCTTTACGGCCTATACAGTGTAGCTTTATTTTTATAATAATTTTTTTATGTTTTCTAAGAAAGTAAAATTGTAATATTCTATATATTTATCTTAATCCAGTTGACTCGAGAGCCGACGAGTCAAGCCTCATTCAGCTCAAAATTGTGGCTCGATAAACTTGACTTGTGAGCTCATTAGCTAGTCGAGTTCAAGCCGGCTCGGCTCATTTACACCCCTATATTGGGTTGGTCTTTCAGTCAGCATTTAACATCCCCTAATTAACTCCAAAGGCTCTGGAATGGTGTTTATAGGGTTTGAATCAGAATTATCATTTAAGCGGCTAATAAACTACCGGTTATGTTTTCTTTTGAGTGATCAACACCTTGCTTCAGTATGCTTTGTTTTGATTACCTTTTAGCAATCAACATGTGCAGCTAACTTCAAATGCAATATGTGAACAATAGTGACGAACCAAATGTAGGACAAATTATATGCATTTGTAATGCTTTTCAACGTTTATTTTGTTTCATTACGATTGCAAGTTAGTGGACTATCACTAGTTATAGTTCTTAGGTTCAGATTATTCATGAAAACTAAAAAAGTTCAGCTAAATGATTTTCAGTTTCAGATAGGATCTGCTGGACGTCAGAAATAGGCAAATTACTAAATTAGCCAACTCTAGAAACCAATCTATATCTAATTTATAAAGGTCCATAATTTTCTGAAATTTGATTACTTTGTCAATGATATGGCTGGAAGAGGAGAGATATATCAAGCCAGCTAATTGCTAGCAAAAGGTAGAGATGTGCGAACTTCAGGAATGTCAAGACCATAATGTTATATATTTGATAAATTTTTGCGCATGATTGATGTAGAATGCTCTGCGGTGTAAGATTCCTGATGCAATTAAACGATGCAATATATGAAATCACTTAATTTTGATTTGAAATGCACACTTGCGAAGACCAATTGAAATAAGAACTCATTTTTTGTAAACCCAAAAAATTGAGAAATCCGCACCAAACGGTAATTGAATGATTGCCCAAATCAAACAAATTCAACAATAAATTTGAAAACACCAAAACCACAAATTGATTGCATTTCACACCACAATCAAAAACCAATTATTGTGAATTTTACTGAACTGTCACAAGTCTGATAGCAAATTATAGAAGACATGAGAACCAGGTAAAACATCAAGAAGCACAATGCAGTTGCTGGTGGTAGTCCATCTAGAAAAGGCAGGCCGAGGCCTTAAGGGTTCTGTATTTTAGTCCCAAAGTGGGTCTGATAGATTGTTTTTCATTGTTGAGTCATCTTGTTTAATCCATTTATAATTTCAAGCTTATGAATTAGTCAAATTCTTGTGTATAGAAATTGGTTGCCTTAAATCTAAGTAAGCTGGGTTTAAAATTTAAAGCTTAAGGAGATATTCGCTCGTTAATTCTTGCAATTGATGAGAATTTGAATTAGATTACAATTTTTGAAATTTGAAGGCAGCAGATGCAATTTAAGTACTCTCTTGTTTATCTCTTATATTCAGTAATATTGAGAGCTAGTAGGCTAGGATAAGTCAGTAAGTAAATGTATTACGATTTGGAATTTAACGTTTGACCAAAAAAAAGGAAGAAAAATCTATCAAGAACAATAATTCCACTCGTCGAACAGCAATATGTTGCCGTCAAAGAGAAAAAGAGGCATAAAAAAAAAGGGGAGGAGAAGATATCATCAATGGCTTGTCCCATAATTCCTTACTTCTCTTGTATCTTGGAGTTTTGGCTATTTAATGACCGTGGTTGCTTAATTATTTCGATTTTTTATTAAAATTTAAACAAAGTAGTTGCTAGCTAGCCTTCTACTACTTTGGTCACAAAATCACTCCATAGAAGGCAAAATCATCTCCTTTTTCAATGTTTTTGGAAAAAAAACATGCATTCTAAAATTTTTTGTTCCATAACATTTATAATTTGCTTTAAAATAGTTTACAAGGCTTATGTAGAATCAATGGATCACCCAAATTAATCAAGTTTGTTGATCTAGACAACTTTTACTGCAATATTAAAGCACATAAGATAAAAGTAAGCCCTTGAAAACATGAATCAATACAATGGCTCAAGTGCTTAGCTGTTGGCACAGTACCTTTGAGTAACACATCACATGATAAATAAAGAGCAATTTTTCAAAAATTAAAACTAGAATGTGCCATCATTTATCTTGCATAGTTGCAGCGCATGTTTGTATCAATTAGATTGCTCTTTGCTTATTTATCTTCATCAATCTTCATCATTACTTCTTTCCCCACAATTTGAGTTCAGCTTTATGGATTCTTCTTTGTTTCTTCCTTTTAAGTGCTGCATGCTATGTTAATTTTAATCACGATAGACTTTTTTGCTCAACTTCAATTCATATTATCTTTGATCTAACCCTTTTGTTTTTTTTTTTTCGCGAAATTAATTTAATCTATCCTACTATCTGCTTCATCATTTGCCAACTGTTTAATGTAATCATTTTTCATTTCATCTTTTACCAAACATATATCTTAGCATTATCATATTTGCTAACCTCAACATTGTATTGTGGCTTCTTTGATGCTCCACTGATGCCAGAGCTTACCGAGACATAGTACTGTAGCTGCTACAACACCGCGGTGCCTTTTCCTATTTGATTCCTTGCCTTGTCTAGCCTTTCACTTTTCTTTTCTACCTCCTTCCTTTCCCATCACTTTTCTATTTCTATTCGTTACCTATTCTATCTACTATTCCTCATTATATAAAGATGTTGTTTGCTTTGATTAAGGTCTGTTTTTGGTTTTTCAGATTCTAGATTCTTGTCTAGTTTGCCATTGGCGGCGCTTTTCCCTTCTAGGGTTGTATCCAAAAGCGAGGAGGTGCTGCGACTTTAACTCGTCCAAGGTGGTAATCTTCTACAACAGTTCGAGGGATGTTGCAGTTGCAACTCAATTCTGCGGGGATAGTTATCATTCCTTGTTCCCCTCCATCTGCTCGCTGCCATCTCTCTTAACCTTTCTGTGTTTCACTGCCGTCCAGCTCTCCAGATTCCTTCTAGCCACCGCACATGCCTTCCGACCCCTCTTCTTGCTGTTGTCCATGCTTCCAACAGCCGCACTGGCCTTTCGGTGCTGTTACTTCTTTTGTTGGCCCTTTCAGGCCAGTTCTTGCTGCTGCCAGCCCCTCCAGGGCCTGTTCCTACTACTGTCCAGTTCCCGTTGTTGTCCAATCCCCCCGCCGACGCTTTCTGCTGCTGACCAGTCCCACACCTCCTCTTTTACACCCTTATATGCCCAACCACTTGCTACTAGTCCTCCTACGCCATCCAGTGTCGCTGCCACCTGCTGCCATCCACCCTCCAATACCGTCGTCACTTCCTTCCCTTCCAGGCCCGCCACCCTTCTCTAGGGATTCATTTATGTATTTTGTATTGTTTTCTTTCTTATTTTGCAGCGTCGTCGTCGTTACCTACTGTCTGCATGTTTGTGTTGTTTTATGTTGAGAATTTATTGTTGTCACTTTTGAATTCAACAATAAAATTTATGTACTTGTTGTGGTTTGGGTTAATTCCGTTATCATCAACACTCAAATCCATGTAAAATGACCAAGTCTAATTGAAATATTATGAAATTTATATTTTGACTCTACATGATATTAACATTCTGCGCAACATATATGAGGAGTTCATATTTACTCAAATAGTTTTTTTTCGTTATGTTCATATACATTGTTATAATATTAGTCATTTATTGTAGTTGATAGGTAAAATCCCCACCTTATTTTCTCACACTTCCTTAATTTTATGGTTTTCTTCCATTTTGATGGTTAAAATGATTTTTTTTAATGCCTTTACATCTTAATAAATGTTTTTTTTCCCATATTGAGTTATCCTGATTTCGTTCAGATTTCGGCTTATCATTATATTTGGAACAAGGATTTATTTGGTTTTTTTGATCGTATGTGCCTAGATTGCTGCTCTATCAGTGGCGTTTTTCAGAGCTCTCAACCTAACTACTAGGTATGTTCAGTACTATATGTGTATATATTAATTTTTTGGGGAATTAACACGCACATCACCCAATTCTTATGCATTTACCTATCTCACGTCCAATCTCTCCTTTTACAAACTAAGTTGCAAACTTGCCTTTTTCATCACTCTCCAACAGTAAAATCCATATTTTTATCCATAGGTAGGGTGCTCATGTTGTAAAAATGAGAGTTTGGGTGTGAGATAGGTAAATGTATAAGAATTGGGTGCTGTGCATGTAAATTTACATACACAGCACCCAATGCATTTACATACACAACACCCAATTCTTACGCATTTACCTATCTCACACCTAAACTCTCATTTTTACAAACCAAGTACTAAACTTACTTCTTTCATCACCCTCTAACAGTAAAATTCACATTTTTATCCATAGGTAGGGTACACATTTTGTAGAAATTCGAGTTTGGGTGTGAGATAGGTAAATGCATAAGAATTGGATTAGGTGTATGTAAATTTTTGTAACCTTTTTTGTTGACAGAGAAATGTTTGATATGCTGATTCTATATTCTTGTTTTGGCTTGTATGAAAGAGCATCATTTTCTCTGCTTTAACAAATTGCCCTAACTTTGGAGCGTTTTAAAAGATTTTTGTAACAGTAATCATGCCTTGCCCATCACTAGTCTTCTAAAACTAGAATGCTTAATTCTTTTTACAGTCTATGTTTATAAATACAACAAAAATGACAGTCATTAATTTTTCAAATTTATCCCATTTTTAGTTAAAATAATACTGTTTTGCTGAATCATGCCATCCTTTCTTGTATTGAAATGGATGCCCATATTTAGATAAAATAATACTGATTCGTGGAAACTTGTTGTCCTAGCCTTTATTGAAATTTTTTGCATGAACTAGTTCTCATGCAATTCTTTTAGAAGCTTCAGGAATTTTGTACACTATTTTTATGTGTAAACATTTCTGAATTGTTCTTGCTAAGGAAATAAACTGTTTTACAAGCTTAGGTATAATTAGTAGACTATTTTCTCCTGAGTGGAAGGAAAATAATGTATCAAGTTATCCAATAGCAACAATAATTAACTATATTTAGGTGGATCTCTTCTTTTTTTATTTGTGTGTGTAGACTGCCTAAATTATTAAAACCTAATAACTTGAATTATTTCATTTTAGCAGTAACAAATTCTCTAAATTTTTTTCAAAATAATAAAGAATGTTGGCTTCTTGGATGCCTAACCATTATCAACTACTGTTATGATATTGGGAATAAATTGTTTTGTTTAGGTTTTAACATCATGGTATGTCTTAGTTTTCTCTTTGTAAGCATTATTACATAATCTGTTCCCACTCTCTTCTTCTGCGCCACAATTGGTACGATTGTAGGCATTTTGCAGTTTGAGAGTTTGCATCATATATTTTATTAGTAATAATGTTTCTAAAATTGTGTGAGGTTGTAAAGATCGTTTTGCAAGATCCTATTTAGGTATATGATTTTGCACAAATTTCTACTTTTGTTTTATGAGCGGAAAATTTTCTTTCTTCTTATTTCCTAATTGGAATCATATGTTACATATTTATAGGCACTCCCCGCTCTATAGATTAGGAATATAACTAATATAGAAAAGATTTGAAATTAAATCTCTTCTAATTAGGTTGCCTACTTTTGTTCTGTGAGCGGAAAATTTTCTTTCTTCTTATTTCCTAATTGGAATCATATGTTACATATTTATAGGCACTCTTCGCTCTATAGATTAGGAATATAACTATTATAGAAAATATCTGAAATTAAATCTCTTCTAATTAGGTTGCCTAATATACAAGCTTCCTAATATGTAAACTATCAAATATTTAGTATTTTTTATAACACTCCCTCTCATGCTGGAGCAAAGATATTTGTCTTGTCCAAATTGTTACAAATATAAGTGACTCTCTCTCTATTGAGAGCATTTGTGAAGACACCCCCTAATTGTTCCCCAACTTTTACATGAGTTGTAGAATCAAATTTTGTTCTATGTTAATGTACTTCGTTCTTTCATGGAAGACTAGATTTGAACCATTATGAATTATAGTTTAGTTATCACACCACAACTTTGTTGGAGTGGTCATCATAAAACCCATTTCGGTCATGAATTGGAAGACCCACATTAATTCACTTGAAGCTTGTCTCATTATTCGATACTCAAATTTTGCACTGGATAGAGACACTACATTTTGTTTCTTACTTTTCCATGAAACCAAATTACCACCCACAAAAACACAATTTCTAGTAATGGATCTTTGATAAGTCTTGAAACTTGGCTAATCGTATTAGAGAAACATTCAATATTTTTATGCCCATGATCCCTATATAGAATCTCTTTTCCAGGAGCTCCTTTGAGGTAACATAGTATATGTTCCAGAGTTGACCAATGATAGACTATGGGGAAAGATTTAAACTAACTGATAGTGCTAACTGTTGCACAATGTTAGGAGAAAGTGACTGTGAGGTTGTTTAATTTCCTCACTAACTTTCTATATCGTTCATGATCATTAAAAAGCTCTCCATTCTTGGTAAGTTGTTGATTGGGAACAATCAGAGCACTTCATGGTTTGGCCCATACTTGTTTCTACTAACATATCCAAAACATACTTTCGTTGAGATAGAAGTACCCTTCTTACTCCTTAATACCTCAATCTCCAAGAAGTACTTAAAGGAACCCAGATCTTTAGTGCATAACTAATTTTGAAAAAAATGATTTCGATGTAAGGTTCTCTGCACATCACTTCTAATAATAATAATATCATCAACATAAACTATCAATAGAATGATTCATGAGTCAGATGCTTATAGAATATAGTGTGATCACTTTTTCTTTTTCTACATCCCAAACTCTTCAGCTTAGCTAATTTTTTCATATCACGCTCGAGGGCTTTGCCTTTATCTATATAGAGATTTTTGAAGATGACATAATTTCCTAGACTCCTCTTGAGCAACAAACCTAGAAGGTTGTTTCATGTATACTTCTTCCACTAGATCACTGTGCAGAAAAACATTCTTCACGTCCAGTTGGTGCATAGGCTTATTATTCATTGTAAGGGTAGGAGTAGGCGAATCAAAGTTAATTTAGTTACAGGAGAGAATGTGTCCTAGTAGTTGATCCCATAAGTTTGAGCATAGTCCTCAACCATCAACTAAGCTTTGAGACGAGCTACAAATCCATCAAAATAAAGCTTAGCTGCAAAGACCCATTTGCAGCCTATAACTTTCTTGCTACAAGGTAGTTCAAATAGTTCCCAAGTTCCATTTTCAGTCAAGGCATTCATCTCCTCAAACATCGCTGTCCTTCATCCAAAATGGGATAAAGCTTGTTGAATAGATTTTGGAACCTCAATAGAGTCAATCAAAGCAACAAACGACACAAAGTGGAAGATAACCGACTATAGTTAACACAAGAGTAAATGAGATAAACACATTGACATTTACCTCTTCAAAGAGAAATAGGTAAATCAAGATCATTGAGAGGAGGATCCACTGAAGAAGATGATATCGATGCATGACTAGGATCAGGGGAGCAAGGTCTTCTCGAGTGAATATTAGTGATAGGTGGTTTTGGCTGAGTCATTTGTGATGGAGCTCGAGTAAAATCTGAACTTATGATGTGATACATTAATAGCTCATCAAAATCTGGTGAGGATTTAAACACTGATGAGTCACTAAAGAATGAGGTTTGTTCATGAAATGTGCCATCAACATAAATCATGTACTTGTTTAAGAGATGATCAATACATCGACACCCTTCTGCAGACAAGAATATCTTAGAAAGACATACTTTAATAACGTAGGGTCAAGTTTAGACACCTATGGATGGGTGTTATGAACAAAACAAGTACACACAAGTACGTGTGATTTAGTAGGAAAGAGAGCTAGTTGAAAATAAAACTTGGTAGGGTATCTGGTTCTTTAGGATGGTAGGAGGCATTTTATTGATCAAAACACACATTGTAAAGACTACATCAACCCAGAACTATTTAGACACATTTGTTTGAAACAAAAGAGCTCTAGCCGTCTCAAGATGTCTATTTTTTCTTTTTAGCTACTCCATTTTGGGATGGAATATCACTACAGGGTGACTGGCGAAACATCTCGTTTTGTGTTATATGCATGAAAAGGTGCGGGGAAATATTTTTTGGCATTATGACTTCTCAAAATCTTAACATTAAAGAATTGAGTTTTAATTTCAACACAAAAGGATTGCAAGTGATGATAATTCATAAAAAAATCCTATAAAATAAAGTCAAGTCATACGAGAAAAATCATCCACAAAAATGGCATGTACCGAAATCCGATAAAATAGGACAAGACCCCTATACAATAAGAATGAATCAACACAAAACGATGACAAATTTTTTTATTGATTCTAAAAACAAAAGACAAATGATGGTGTTTAGCAAATTAACAAGACTTACAATCTAGATATGATAATTGTTGAAATTGAGGGTACAATATTATCAGCCTTGATCGTGATGAATAACCTAATTAACAATGGATCTAAAAAGGAGATAAGGTGCTGGAACATTCTACGGGTCGAGATGCTTCCTTATCCATAATGTATACCCCCTCATTCACTTCCTTTACTGATAATTTCTTCATCATAATATCTTGAAATAGACAATAGTCGGGAAATAGTATGATACAACAATTAAGAGCACATGCGATGTTGCCGACAAAAAAAGATTAAAAGCGAATTGAGGTACACTGAGAACAAAAGTTAGAGGCAATGTGGATGTAATATTGATAGTGCCAGAACTAAAAACATTAAAGATAAATCCATCTACTAAAGTGATGAAGGCAATGTGCTTATGAAAAATAAAAAAAAGAGTTTTGGATAATTTGTCATGCTCTTTGTAGCACCAGAATCAATGATCCATTATGTAGAAGAGGAAAGAAGACAAGTGTCATTGTAATCTGACTCAGCAAGGACATTGATAGATAGGGATTTCTTGGATGCTTCCTCAAATTTGATGAATTTAGCATGTTCATCTGTAGAGATCGAGAGAGTTCGACTCTGAGTGGTCTCATTAGTAGTAACTTAGTGAGCTGATTGAGATGTAGAATTTTTTTGGTTTTTTTTAACAACTTCTAACAAGTCCTCTTCGTATGACCAGATTCACGACAATAATAACACACTACCTTCAACACTTGATTTCCAGAGTTCGGAGTTCCACTTCTATAATTATCTTGAAACTGAGGTTTGTTGATGTCTTTATTTTTTGACTGACAAGAGCACTAGATTGTCGTACGGATGAGGCATGAGAACTCAGAACCGTACATAGTACTCTGGTATAGGCTTCCATCTGTGTAGTACATTTAGGATCATATAATATCTGTGATTTGGCATCTTCATATTAAGAGTTGGGGCCAACTAGAAAAGTCATAATGGTCATTGTTCTCCTTGAGCTTGCTGAATCTGGACATCAATATTGAAAGGGAATAATACATTCAATTATTCATAAACATGCTTAAAGTGTATGTCATAAGTGTTTAGCGACTGATCCTGTTGTTCAGCTTGATAGAACTCTTTGCATACATAAAATATTCGAGAAATATTTTCTCTTCCAAAAACACATGCTAATTCCTCCATTGCGTCTTTAACGGTCAAAATGAATGACATATGACCAGATTGATTTGGTTCGTTGGAGTTTTTTATCAGTGTCAAAAGCTGGGCATCAACTCTCATCCATTCAAAATAATTTGGATATGTTGTTGTTGGGGGATTTTCAATGAGGCGACTCCCTTGAAAGATACTTCTCAGGTAGTTTCATAGTTTTATTCCATTAAAAATAATTGACGCCATTTAATTTTTCAATCGCAATCTTAGCCACTGATGAAACCAAACCTGTCATAAAATTTTTTGTTCGCTAGCCATATATGAGGCCATTTAGTGCTGAAGGACAAGGCGAAGTTGTGATCAAAGCACTAGGAGATAAATAACTCGACCACGAACAATCTAACAACAATTGTAGACAAGAAAAAAAAATAACTAAATCGGCTAGCAAAGGAAACCAAATGAAGCAGCCGAAAATAGAAACTAGGGTTGTAATCGAGTCGAGTAGAATTGAGTATGGCATGGTTTGGACTTGGTTTAGTTGAATCATAAGTTGCCCATGTTCAATTTGAGCTTGAGATGAGTTTCAAAAATATGTTTATACTTGACTTGATTTAAATTGTTAGTGTCCATACTTGATTTGCTTATATTAACTAAAATAGCTAAAAATTTAAATGAGTACTTAATTTTTCATATAAAATTAAATATTTTATTTGCACATGATTTTTCATATAAAACTAGTAAGTTAAAACCATAAATGAGTATTTGATTTTTATATAAAATTTTTAATAAATGATCTTAAGAATCTAAATAAATAAGCAATTGAATAGCTTCAAATTAACATCTAACTAGTTAATATCAAGTAAATAAAATTATATATATATATATATATATATATATATATATATGTCGTTTTGCAATCAAATAATATAAATAAATTCTCATAAAATAGTTTATTTAAAGACAAAAATAAAAAATATTCTTTGAATTTATGTGTATGTTGATGTTAAATTATAATATATTACTATTAAATATATTATCAAATATATTCTAATTAATTAAATTTTATTTAAATAATATATCATATAAGCATAGAGTATTTAACAAGTTTCTTTTTGAACAACAAACGAACCTATTATGAACATTAATAAGTGAGTTGTACTATATTCAAATTTGGTTCATTTAAGCTTCGAGTTTTTTAAAAATATTCAAAATTATTTATTTACTAACTTAAACAAACAAATTTGAGTATTAATTGAGTCTGAGTTCTAAGTTGTTCATCAAAGTGTACTGGTTCATTTACCGCCCTAATAACAGCCGACCAAATCGATCTAAGCAGATGACTCAGATCGACGCAAATAGATCGGCTCAGGGCATATTAGGCCTTCGTCGATGCCCTAATCTCCTCGGCGCGGAGCAATGCAGACAAGCACTGGGTGAAGACATAGGTCTAAGACCAAGACAAAGCGCATGATGATACAAATGAAGTCGAATACACCTTCGCACACGAAGCAGGCACAAACGTGTTCAAAGTAGTTCGACGCAAATGAAGCTAAAGGAAGCATATGATGCATATGGTGTTGTTCGAAGTAGATGAAGACTCGACGAAGCAGGAACGTGCCTGAGCCGAAGATAATCAAGTCTGTCACATAAAAAAGATCATGACGTCGCAGGAGGAAGATGATGTCAATGCAGGAAGCAAACAAATACAAAGAAGTTGAGATGTTGGAATGAGTCTGCGCGGAAAAAAAATGAAAAGCTAACGTTGAAGACGAAAGATGCAAAGTGGAAGGATTCCACGAAGGTCTAATAACATGGGAGCGAAAATTTTATTTTTTCCCAATTGAAATCATATGTTAAATATTTACAAACACTCTCTCTATATATTAGGAATACATGCCATGGAAAAGATTTGAAATTAAATGTCCTCTAATTAGGTTACATAATATACAAGCTTCCTAATATGCAAGCTACCTAATATTTGTTATTTTCCATAACGGTCCATATCATTTCTAAATGTGAAAGTACTATGGTTTCTATGCTATAATGTCCTTGTAAAATACCAAAATATACTAAATGTTATGGTACTCCATCAAACCCTTACTTTATACTCTCATTAACTCTCACTTTAGAGTGGTTTGAGGAGTGTTACCATGAAATTCTTGGTTTGCAGCCATGTCCTCTTTATCAGGTGGTAACTGGCTTCCTTTCATGCAGTTGTTTTTCGCCACCACTAATTGGCTGCAATTTGGTAGTTGTTCATTATAGAGTAAACCTTGTGGGTAAGGGTTTCTTTTTTTCTCTTCCCCTTTCATTTTAACTAGTTTGTGGGCTGCATTTGGATGGTTGATGGCTTGCATATTTCTCAGTTGCCATTGGGGCCCCTCACCAAGTGTAATGTGAAAATTAAGGGACGCAACTTGCAAATTTTAGAACTAAGATGCACAAAGCTCTAGTTAGTAGAATTCGGTGCTACATTTGATAAAAAAAAAATTTGATGTCTATTACAAAGTATCTTTTAGTCGTAAGTGAGACTCATATGACTAATGGTACATTTGGTGCCAAAATTAGCCGCATGGTAATTAAAGTAGGGAGCTTGGATAAATTGTGAAGTAACCTGTGATATAAACTAAAACTACATGGAAAATTGAAAAAACTACTATATTAGGCCCGAATTTTAATTTGAGCTTATGTTATTCATTTTTCTAAGAAATTTAGACTTGTAATTTAATTTAGTGTCAAAGGATTAATAATAAGGATAGATCTTTAGTGCTTGTACAGACGTTTAAAAAAATTATAAATAATAGATTTGCTTCCTAATGTTACACTCAACATGAATAAATAGGAAATACATATTTTTTTTGTGAGGGTTAGGCAAAATCATAAATTGAGGGCGGGCAAACTCCTAAAATTTAATATTTTTATAAATAAATAAAAAATTTTGATGGTGGGCAGTTCACTGCTCTATAACTTGGTTCCACCCTTGTGGGTGGTAGGCGTGTATGTTGTGGAGAACGCATGTTGATAGGTGTTAAATGCAATTCGTATCAGAACATGACAAAATGCTAGATGGTTATATATGCTAAAATGAGCTCTAAGGGCCAACCTTGTGCTAATTCTAGGTTGTCATTCAAAGCCATTGCCATCCTGTTTGACATTCTTCCCTACCAAGATGCCTATTTGAACGTTTGTTTACTAGGATTTGTGACTCTTTTGTTGAATAACTTGCATCATATTATTTAAAATTGTTCTAATTGTCATCTTACTAAAGCATATTTTTGCCTTAAAGTATTTAACACACAAAATTTGCAGAAATCCTAGTTAGGGATGGTTAAAGGGAATAAATCCTCAACTTATTTGGCTAAATTTTTCATTGCTAATGATTCTCTTGCTGCTTTTGAAGTACACTTCAGTATGATTAATGCCAATTGTTTTTATGCTGTTTCTTGATAATGTGTAGGCACTTTGTTGTTGAAGCAATTAATCATATCAACTATATATTTTCATCACTCTTTAGGAAGCAATATTGATTTCATGGAAGCTGATCAGATTTGAGCAGATCCGGTTTGAAATATTCCATTTTTTCCCTTATAGGTTTGTCTCAAATTTGGATGTGGTTTCTCTCAAGCCGGATGTTGACATGCCTGGAAATTCAAGCTTTAATACGACTCATTTGAATACAAAGATATCCTCTTCTCTTAGTTCTGATTCAAGTCCTAAATTCCATACTCTAGACCGTGCTCATTTATCCGATTCCAGAGATGAAGCCATGCACCCTAATACTACAAATAGTAGCAGGCTCCCCAAGATAGGAAACAACACAACCTGTAATAAGAAAGTCCGCAGAGGCTTAATTGCTTCGATTAGCTTAGCAGATGAAAAACATGTTTCAACAAGCCAGGCAGGTGCTGAGAATTTAGGTTCTTATAATGAAGGATCAAAAAGAAAAGGAGATCTAGAATTTGAATTGCAGATGGCAATGGCTCTCTCAGCTACTGCAACAACAACAACAAAAAGCCTGGATATGGATGACTTACATAACTCATCAACTTCCAGTTCTCCGATGAAGAAAGTGAGGATTGCAAAGACCGGAGAATCATTGTTTTCAACTAGTCATAGCTCGGGTGGTGTTTGGTCAAGAAAAAATGGACCTCCCTTATATTGGGCAGAAGTTTACTGTAGTGGTGAAACAGGGAATGGAAGATGGGTGCATGTTGATGCTGCTAATTATTTAGTTGATGGAGAGGAGAACGTAGAGCCTGCTTCTGCTGTTTGTAAGAAGCCAATTAGATATGTGGTTGCTTTTGCTGGTAATGGTGCTAAAGATGTGACTCGAAGGTATTCTTTCATTTGTTTGATTCAAAGTTTAATGCTTGTGCAGTGAGTGTACATATGCCTGTAACAGCAGCACAATTTAGATCCTTTGATGCTGTATTCGTATAATTTGTTTCAAGTTCTTTTCTAAGATACTTGGGAAATCTTTCCCT